AAGTGATTGAATTTGAGAAATAAATTTAAAAATAACTTATTTTGAAAAAAAAAATTGGGGTGGGGCATGCCTTTGGTGAATAATCATGTGTAAGCTTAGTTTCATTTGGTAATAATATGGTCGGAGACTGCATAAGAATTATACAAACAAATGAAAATGCAAGACTTAATACATTCAGTACAAGTTGAATTGTTTGCATGTGAAATATGAAATTGTTTACAACGTAATGGTTCTAATTTTTTTTTTTTTGCTCATTTTGCTTCTGTGTTTTTTTTTGTGATGTTGTCCTGATTCTGCTATTGTCCTGATTCTGCTTCTGTCCAATCAATATGAAATTGCTCCTGTGCTGCTTCTATTTTTTTTCCTCAATCGTCTATTTTTTTGTTGTTGTTGCATTCTATTGCTGTCCTGATTCTACTTCTTTTGTTGTCCTATCCTGTCAATATAAAATTATTTACAACTGATATGAAATGTGATTCAGTACATGTGAATGCGTTTTGTTCCTTTGATTGTAGTGTGATAGTGTTATTCATAAATGACATCGTCGTCCGAAGGGAACAAAAAAGATCCGACATGGAAATATGCACACTTGGTAAATCCTCAAAACACAAACAAGTTTAAATACAATTTTTGTGAAAAAAAGTCAAATGGAGGTGTCTATCGGGTCAAGCAACACCTAGCGGGGAACTCTACGAGTGTTATTACTTGTCCAAAATGCTCTGCTCATGTTAGGGAGGAGATTAGAGAATACATGGCTAAAAAAAAGGAAGAGAAGAATCTAATGAACATAGTTCCCGACTTTGGTGAGATGCCTAATGACTTGGAGGAGGATGAAGATGATATTGTAGAGATTGTTGCGAACCGTAAAAGATCCATGACTAGTTCTAGTCAAGGTTCTACACAAGCCACATCGAGACCAAAAAAGCCAAGACAAAAAGGGCCTATGGATGTATACTTCACCCCTAATCCGAATGTTGTGGTGCAAAATCGAAAGACCAAGGGAGACAAACGAATATTGATGTCAGCGATCCTTTTAGAAAGGAAATGAGAGAAAAAACCATCACAACATTTGCCCGATGGATGTATGACACAGGAATTCCCTTTAATGTTGTGAACTATGAAAGTTTTGCAGCAATTGTTGAAGCTTTTGGACAATATGGTCCTGGTTTGAAACCTCCTTCTTACCATGAGGTTCGGGTCCCATTGCTCAACAAAGAAATATGACATATAAAGTCATTGATGAAAGATCACCAAGAGGATTGAGTAAAATATGGATGTTCCATAATGACCGATAGATGGACTGACAAGAGAGGGAGAACCTTGATTAATTTCTTAGTGAATTGTCCAAAAGGGACCATGTTCTTTGAATCTGTTGATGCTTCTGCATACTCAAAGGATGGGCAAAAAATATTTGAATTGCTTGATAATCTTGTAGAGCGTATTGGTAAAGCTAATGTGATTCAAATTGTCACTGACAGTGCGGCAGCAAATGTTTTAGCAGGTATGAGCTTCTTGAAAAAAAAAAAGATAACTACTTGTTATATTGAATTTTTTTATGCACACTAGTTGATAAAAAAATCTCTATTTAATAAGTAAGTTTTTGGAGGCAAAACGACCCAATCTATATTGGACGCCATGTGCTACCCATTGCTTGGACTTGGTATTGGAAGATATCTTCAAGTTGCTAAACTTTAAGAGAACATTTGAAAGAGGAATAACATTACACGGTTATATTTATAACCGTCCAACTCTGTTGAATATGATGAGACGATTTACCCAGTCAAGAGAGTTGATTAAGCCCGCAAAAACTAGATTTGCTACGACTTTTCTTACGCTAACAAGGATCAACCAACAAAAAGGTAACTTGAGAAAAATGTTCACTTCAGAGGAATGAACTACAAGCAAATGGGCAAAAGAACAACAAGGCAAAAGGACAACACAAATCATTTTAATGCCTTCATTTTGGAGTAATGTTGTCTACTCTCTTAAGCTTACTGGCCCTCTTGTTCGTGTGCTTTGATTGGTTGATGGTGAGAAAAAGCCTCCCATGGGGTACATTTATGAAGCTATGGACCGGGCTAAAGAAGCGATTGCTAATTCTTTTAATGGTAATGAAGAGAAGTACAAACACATCTTTGAAATCATTGACCGAAGATGGAAAGTTCAATTGCATCGGCCTTTGCATGCAGCTGGGTATTTTTTGAACCCAGAGTTTTTCTATTCCAATGCAGAGGTTGAGAAAGATCAAGAAGTCATGAATGGCCTATATAAATAAATGTTTGGAAAAGTTGGTCTCAAATCCTGTGATACAAGATAAAATTGGTCAAGAGTTAAGTATTTACATGAAAAGTGAAAAACCTCTTTAAGTTGCCCATGGCGGTTAGACAAAGAACAACTAGGGCACCAGGTAATCTATGTTATCCCACAAGCTTATTTCATTACCATTGCTTAAATATGTTAGTTAATTAATTGTTATTCATTATTCACAGCTGATTGGTGGAGTGCATATGAGTCTGCAACTCCAAATTTGCATACCTTTGCAAAAAAAGTTTTAAGCCTTACTTGTAGTGCATCCGGTTGTGAGCGAAATTGGAGTGTGTTTGAGCATGTAAGTATCATCCTCAAACCTCTTCAATTACATTTTTTTTAATCTTATTATAAACTTTAATGTATTGTTAATAAATTATTGCAGATACACACCAAAAAAAGAAATAGACTAGCTCAATCCCGTCTCAATGATTTGGTGTTTGTTAAGTATAATAGAGCTTTGAGACGCCGATATGATTCTCGTGACACAATTAATCCAATATGTTTGAAGGATATTGATGATAGCAATGAGTGGTTGATTGGGAAAATGGATGCAGACACAGATGAAGATAATGAACTTGTGTTTGGTGATGATACTTTGACTTGGGGCGAAGTTGCTCGAGCTTCTGGAGTTACGGAAAGTAGCCAACGGACTAGATCAATACCATCTACTAAGGTAACACCAAGGTTTACAAGATCGACGACTGGACTCACAGATGAGGAAGACATAATTTCAGATGAGGCAGAGGAGGATGATATTGAGGGATATGAATCTAAGGATAATGAAGAAGATGGTTTCTTTAGTGATGAGGATTGATTTCTAAGTCCTTGAGATATTTTCTTTAGTTGCTTGAATTATGTGTCTTATGGTTTTAAATATTAGGATTTGAGATATTATTAGTGTTTGTATGAATTTAAATGTTTAAGTTATGACTGTTATTAAGATTTGTAATATTATTAGTGTTTGTTTTAATTTAAATGTTTATGGTTTTACTTGCATTTAAATATTTAGTATATATAAAATTAAAACTTTGATGTGTATAAGTAATTACACTAAAATATTTATTTATTTTTTTAACTGCTTGCTTCGTTTTGATAAATCGTTTCACTTCGCTTCTCGCTTCTCGCCTAGGCATTAAGAGCTTGGTCGCTTCGGTTCGCTTAACGCTTTAAATAACACTCGTGGTGACATTTTCCTAAATTATTCAGTAAAAAAGTGTAAATGCAAGTGAAAATCATAAAATCTAAAGTTGGATCACACCTAAAAACCTTATAAAAATAAGTTTTGATGCATGTAATAGCATTGGGCATGGAGGAAATGGGGTGAACTCATGCGTGAAGTGAGTGAAATGTGTTAGGATGAGCAAAAATTGCGTCTTTTAATAGGCTGGACTGAGAATTACACAACCCGCTCGAGTAGTGTAAGGGGTCGCTTGAGTGATCCATACTTTACCATCTTAGTTTGAATTCATTTTTCATTACATTAGTTATCGCCCTTTCATTACTTTCTTAGTTTGAATTTGTGTTTTCTTGGTCCCAAGACAACCAATATTCTAAGCTTATAAATAAAGGGTGTCTTTCGCATGCTAGGGCAAACCTTAATGAAGCCTCTTGAGAGTATTTTCTGCATATCAAAAACCCTTGAGAACTTGTGAGCAACTTTAGATCCCTAAATCCATAAGGCTAAAACCCATCTTATGAGTCCTAGCCAACATCACACATTAGGGAGAGAAGAACTTGATAGGTTCTACCAAACCCACTTGAAGAGTATGCATACTGAGATTCTTAGGTACATCCTAAGAGTACCTGAGGCCTAAACAAATCGTACGACGGAGAGTTCAAATAAAGCTTTCCATGACATCAATGGGTTTATCCGGTGAAGTGATTTATTGAAGAATATGCGTGTCGAACTATGATATTGATTGAGGTATGAGACTCGAGTACTTGTAAATTGATTGTGGGAAAATGAATTAGACTTTGGTGAACCTCGAGTGGATTCTCGCGATTTTTCCCAATGAAGGTTTCCGCGTCAATAAATCTCTTATATTCTTTATTGCTTTATTTGATACACTTCAGTTGAGATCGTCGTGAATGATTGAGTATTAATTGATAAAATTAAAATATTTATTACACTATTCATCATGGACTTTGTGGGTTGTTTTTGAAAAAGGAGTTCTCAAATTTTTAATTGATAAATTATTTTAAGAAAGAGTAATTAAAATATTATAGGCTAGTATTTTGTGTTTGTTCAATCGGGATTAAAATTAACCTATTCACTCCCCCTAGATAGTGCTTAATCCTATGTAAGTAAACCTAAAGGATAATCCATTCCGCATAAGGATATTGCATTTGACATATTCATTACACTAATCATCATGAGCTTTGTAGGTTGTTCTTGAAAAAGGGGTTATCAAATTGTTAATTGCTAAATTATTTTTGAGAAAGAGGTAATTGAGGTAATATAAGTTATAATTTAGTATTGTTCAATTAAAATTAAAACCTATTCACCCCTTTAAGTAGTGCTTAATTTTACATGAGCAATCGCGTCGGACGATCTATTTTACACAAAAATAACACATTTATCTTTATAATTGAAATGATTATGAAATGTGTTTTCTGAATCGGCAACTAAATATGTTTTTATTTTTTTTAAAAACACAAAACTGACGGGGATAATTTCGTCCTTAATTTCCATGTGTCAGCTTTCGACCACGATAAGGACAAACCTCGGTTACTCTGTGAATTTGTTCACACAGACAGAGTCGAAGAAGACTGAAGAGGATATGGAAAGTGCAGTGAAAACACTCATCTTGGGTTTCAATCCTAAGGTAATGCCCAGGCATTTGATTATTTGTATAGAAAAAAGAAGAGTTAGGGATAATTGGAGGTTATTATCTCAGGCATTTGGCCTTCTTTTGTCATTTTTGTTGATCAAGTTCTTACATTTGGAGTTTATTATTACATGTCGTAAGAAACACCCATCTTCAGACCAATCCGAGATGCGTTATTGTGTATTTCTCACTCACGGTAAATGTTTGTGATATCAAATTAGTATGAATTCTTGCTTTTGTGTACGTGTTGGTTCATTGGGGGCTCGTATCGAGGATATGCAGCGGGTTTATCAGTTATTGTCCATATCGTTCTTAAGGGTAGTTCTAGCATGGTGCGTTGTAAGTTTGTTTGGTGCCAATATTTAACTCATTTATTTGGTTTTGCACCAGAGAGCTGTTTGTTACCACACTGCTATAGTGTTTGAGTCCTCCAAATAGCTTTGAGCAAACTTCATTTTAGTTAGTCTCCTTTGAACATTACCTCTATCTTTTTAAAAATAGTCACATAACCCCATGCAACCGTCAAGAATTCCATCCGAACTAACAGAATTATCAAACCCCCCCATGTTATGTTATTTATAAAAAAAACCACCAATTTTCCCGACCCCCATTTCTCAGATCCGGTAGCTCTCAATCCCTATACCCAGCTCCGGCAGCCCCCAACCCCCTTCCCTGCTCTGGTATTCCCCAAGCTCCGGCAGCCATACGGCCCATCCCCACCCCAAAATCCAAACTGTGCTGCCCGTTTGAAAAAAAAAAAAAAGCAAGGCATTTCACTCTGCGATTAATGTAGCTTGGTAGTAAATCCCATACCTTTGGTGTGATAAACTTCAAGCAGATGTCAGGTTGGGTGCCATATGCCAAAAAGAATAATGGCTAGATGTTTATGGATATAAAATAGTATCTATGTAAGACAAATGTTCTAAACGTTTCAAGCACTAGAGAGGGAGAGAGAGGAGAAGATCACCTTTCATGGGTTGAGTATGGGGTGGTTTTGGGTATGGGATAGATCATATGTGGATTATAAGGGTGTTTTAGTATTTTGAACATGTTAATCTCTACTTGAAGTATGTTTGCATGTCGCCTCATCAATTCTGTTAGTTTGTATGGAATTTTAGATGGTGCAGATTAGTCCATAAACCATGGAAGGGATATGTGGTTAATTTTAAACATCAGGGAGTACTGGCAAAATGGCCTAACCATGAGTGAAGTTTGCTCAATGGCTTCATTCCCTTTATTTTCTATATTTTATAACAAGATATTTACCAATTGCGTAACTATCTTAACATGTTGTTTTCCCATTTTGATTGTATAATAAGTTTATTTGACAGGTAATGATTAAATCACTCTATTAAAAAATTCTATGCTGGTACTTTACATAGGTCAATGCGGTGGGGACGGTGTTTTTATTAATTGCGAAACAATAGTTAATCTGCATCATTTTGTAAGTAATTTGTGGCCATTAATCTTGCATTGCTATATGTATTTTGTTAGACATTTCGATCATGGTTTCAGATATTTTTAGCCTCTTGGCAAAATTTCATTTTGACCACACGGTCGAAACGGTTAAAACTTTTTTATTTTCAAGAAGACTGAAATGAATTGGTGATTGAATTGAAATTTTGATGTTTCGAGGTATCTTTAATGTTTTAAGGTGTTTCAGCATGTTTCCACCACCATTTTGTTTGCGAAATATTTCTGGAATGTTTTTGTTTTCTAGGTAACAAAATCAATGCATTGGAATGAAATTTTGATCCTTAATTTCAGCAATGGCTGTTTGTTAGTACTGTTGCTTTTCCACCCCCCTCAAACTATGGGAAGTTCTAGATGAAATGTTTCTGTTTCTGCCCCTAGCGGACTTTATGGCTTCTGCTAATATACGATGACATTCAAATTTACCTGATTATCATGCAGATAATAGCTCACCAGCATACTGCACATGTCGTACCATATCTTCCATTTAAAAGAACATGCTTTTCTGTTAAGACGGGATATAGAACCCATAAATTTGGTGCAAGGTAATCGTAATTTTGAAGTTACAGCAGAAATTTTTGTTACTTTGTGTAGTCCTAATCTTTCTTCCCGAAACCATAGCAATGCTTTACTATTTGTGGAGGCACTTGTACTTTTTTCAACAAAACTTTAATTAGTAGCTTGCCTATTTGGGAAATGGCAGATGTTTTGTGTGCCTACTTATAATGCATACTTGTCTAGGATAACCTGAAAGAGATAAATCTTCTGGTGTTCAGTTCTTATTTCTTTGTGAAATGTAGCATCCGTACCATCATCTCTGAAGGTTTACCATTTCATTCAACTTTATGAGGTTTTTGCTCTAACACAGGTAAGTGTAGGATGCAGTTTGAAAGATTGCCATGCATGCTGGACAATTAGCAGAAATTCTGTGTTTACTAGTACCTATTGCCTTGAAATGACTTTATTGATTTAGGCCGACAGAATGTAACATGGAAACTCTTGCATACATAAGCAAATTGAGCATTGGAGTTGGTACTTTAATGTGGAGGCATCATAATTAAGCTAAAATAAGATGGTATCGAGGTCATTTTGAATGATATACTAAAATGTCATTGTAAATGAAAGTTGTGTCACACAGCAGATCCCTCTAAAACACATTATACATTTTTCTGGGTTTTCTCAGAATTAAAATCCTGATGTGAGCTACAGTGGACATGCAAACAAACATTATAGAATAGTCATCACTGAGTTAATGGAAGTTAAATTGCATTTACCATAAGGTTGTGGATTTAGCACTGTATTGTAATAATCAAGTTTTTCTGCACTCCTGAATATTCAAAATGATTTTTTGTTGATTCTTTTAAATCTTTGCTGCCTCTTCAGCCTTTTTGCCACCATACTTGAAGTTCATTCCATTGGATCTCTGGGAACTGATTCAGAAACTAGTATGCATGTTTTGTGCAGGGGGGATAGTAAGAATTTTTCTGCCGTTGATGCTGTATCATCAGGTGCAAACCAAGTCACTATCCTCTCACAATTTCCACTGTTACCATCAGACTATTCAGTCTTGCTGACTGTCTGTTCTGTTTAATGTTTCACCTAAATTAGGCGCGGAAGATATTGAAATTGCTTCTTCTCAATATGATGATTTTTCTGTTACTACTACCAGTACTGACATGGCTGCAGAACTAAAGGTAAGAAAAGAAGTTTCCTAGGAATGGTAACTTTTTTGATCAAAAAAAAAAGGAATGGTAACTTTAATTTGTTAATTTACAATTTACATGAATGTTATTGAACCTTTGGGTACTTTTTCATGTTAAGTCCTTTTTTTGATTCCTTAATTGATAATCCTTCAATTCTACATGTTTCCCAACATTGAAGATTTGGAAGGCTAAGGTGCCTTTGAAAGTGCAACTGTGTGCAAGGGTCATTGCTCACGGTAAAGATTAACACCTATGATCTACTCCAAAATAGGAGACCCTATAATAGCTTTTGTCCACAATGGTGTGTTATGTGAATAGCTAATTGTGAGAATGTGGATCATTTATTCTTACATTGTCATATGGCTTTATACTTATGGAATAAACTTTTCAAGATAGTTGGACTTTGTTGGGTGGCTCCACAATCGATTTCATCGATGCTCTGTGTAGAGTTTAAAGGGTTGGGTGGTGGTACAAGGGGTGATACTCTTTGGCATTGTACTGTTTTAGCAATGGTTTGAGTTATTTTGTTGGAGATAAACTCAGGCATCTTTGAAGATAAAGAGGAGGTGATGGAAGGATTATGTGACAGGATTTTTTTCTTAGGTTTTTTTTTGAGGCCTCAGTGACGAAGACGTTTGAGAATATTCTCCTTTTTTGTATCACGTCGAGTTGGCTTGCATCGTATGAGAGCTAGCTTGTTTTATGTGGGATAGTTCTAATTGTAGTTGATGTTTTTTGGTTTTTTTATTTTGCATGTAATTGGGTTGGACTTCTTGTCCACCTTTGCTCATATTTTGTAATGTTTTCTTCTTATTAATGGAATGATATTTCTTATCACAAAAAAAAAAAAAAAATTAAATTAAAGTTAAAGGATTTACATGAAGAACATCACATGGAAGAGAAAAATGTATGGGAATGATTATCAATGTGTGGTCAAGATGACCTTTCTTTTTCCCAAAATAGAAAAGAAAAAGAAAACATTATGGTCCTAAAGGAAAAGCATGCCCCATGATGTTCATATATATGTGGCTTGAAATTTTGATCATGATGTGCATTGATAAATTGTCACAGATAACTGTGGAGGTATCTGGTGCCAAAACTCAAGAAATTTTTGACGAAGTGTTCTCCAGAATGGTCACTGCTGCTCAACCAATCCCAGGCTTCAGAAGAGCGAAAGGAGGTGAGGTTATAGAAACCACTACAAGTTAATTTTTCTAAAACTAATTACTATAGTGCCGAGAAAACCATCAGTCAATGAAGAGGCTATGTCTTAATCCAGGCCTTTCTTTTTTTTATGCTAACTTCGTTACAGTATTCCTTTTTTCCCTTCTCTTTGTTTAATTAGTGGCTAACATACTTTATGATTCTCTTCATTGGCACAAACTGATTGGAGCTATCAGGAAAAACACCCAATGTAAGTTTTGACTCCATTTAAAAAACTGTGATCATATCATCCACTTGGTATTTCATTTCCAAGAAGATGGGCTGACATTGCATCTAGTTCAGGTAAAATTTGCATCTATAGGCTTGTAATGGACATGATTGTTAAACCCAACCCCAACCACCAAAAAACTTGGGATATTAACCCTTTTTATTGTGGGGTGGTTGGCACAGGGGTTACAAATGGCACAATATTCTGATTATCTTTGTGGGTGAAAAGATTTATTTGACTTGGGCATTTGAGTCTTTTAGATTGGGCCCACTTTATTGAATTTATGTTCATGCATTGCTGTTTGTACCTCTTTACCGTGGACAAAGTTCTTGTACTTTTTTGGTGATGCTGGACAGAAATTTCACACTTTCCTTTTATTAATTTCAAAGAAAAAGAGAGCGTCGAAGTCCATTGGTACAGCAGTTAAAATTCGGCCCGATTATATTTAGGTTGTGGGTTTGAACCTAAGGGCAGTTGCTTTGTGCAAATAATTCCAAAGGTTAAGTCTGTACCCAATTTAGTCCTCCAAACGTTCCTTAAGGGGGAATAAACTGAGTGTTCGGTTTTGGAGACAACCAAAAAGTCCATTATAGACCATCTCCAAATGCATCTGCACAAAGTTTTAGTTTTAGTTTTAGTTCTAGTCCGTAAACATTAACTTCATTCATTATGCAATGCTGCTGTTGCTGCACGGTTATTTTTGTCCTCTTCTCCTCGTAGGAATAGTTGTCTTGAAAAAATGTCGTAATGGCTAAATTGCAGTACGTGCACACACATAGACACATGCATGCGTGCGCGCACACACAGAGAGATGCCTAGCATTTGTACAATTTACAAGGCATAAACATGCACACATGCATGCAAGTGGAAAATATATACATGATTCATGTGTGGTTTGCTTTGAAAGCAATTGTAATATTTCTACTTGTTGGTGGTGTTTGGCAGATACCAAGAGACATTCTTTTAGAAGTTCTTGGACCTTCCAAAGTTTACAAGGAAGTTATCAAGAAAATAATCAACTCTACCATACTTGAATATGTTGAAAAGGTAGATCTCTCTCTCTCTCTCTCTCTCTCATTTTATAAATGCAATTGGAAAATGCTTGGCTTTTTTCACTTGGATGCATTAGCACTTGTATTTCCATACAAGGTCTGAAATTTAAGCGAAACCAAATGTTAGGATTTGTTTTTGAGTCATCTGGTTTAAAAGCTTTGACAAATTTAGACCTTTTCTTCTTTCTAGTAGACATTGACGTTTTACAATTTTTGGGATGCCATTCTGGTCACAGAATCATTAAAAAAGTTTGATTATGTGTCATGATACTGGACATTAGGATCCATCAGCGGTCGTAGAAATGGAAAATTCACTTTAATAGTTAGTTAAATCGTAGCATAACGAAGTTGTTTGCATATAAATATTTTGAAGTGGTTCCTCTAGGAATCATTTGCTTTAAAATTTAAGTTTTCTGTGCATCTTTTGGTTTGATGCTTACCCTCTTTGTTAAATGGAATGGAATTAGCAACTTCTTGTCTTTTGGGCTTTAATTTGCATTTTGTTGCTCCAATGAAACTCATTTGATGAGGTATAAATTTGCAACATTTTGACATCTGAGGAACTTTTGATACAGTTGGTAATTTTAATCCCAGCTGCTACATTCCGTTAATTATTGCTCGTGATATAATATTGATTGATGAAACAAGTAGGAATTAACAATAAACTAGAAGTTTGGAGATAAGCTTTAAAATCAAAAGGATTTATGGAATTTAGTTTTAGTAATAATAGATATTCAAATAGTTGGTAATAAAGATTGAAGATCAAAAGATACCAAGATCGAACACTTTCAGTATTTGGAGTCAATTATATATTGGGCGGGAGAGATTGGAGATGATATCAATTATAGAATGAAAGTGGTATGGAATGAGTGGAGGAATGCATCTGGCGTAGTAAGTGATCCAAGTATACCTCCTAGGTTGACAAGTAAGCTTTATAAAACAATCAGTACACAAGCAATACTTTGTGGTATAGAATGTTAGGCAATTAAGAAACAAGACGCTAAAAGATTAGGTATTGTTGAAGTGAGAATGTTAAGACGGATGTGTGATAAAAAAAGAAAGATTAGAATTAGGAATGAATATATTGGTGAAACTGTAGAAGTAGCACTTGTTAGAGTAGTTAGAATATTTAATCTTAAGGGTAGTTTAGTCCTTTTGTTATTTTATGTTGTCCTACTATATAAGGGCCTTTTGTATGCATTTTTCTATTATGCTGTTCTGGTTAATTGTGCCACAATAATATTTTCTTTTTCTTTTTCTTATCTTCTCTATGATTGATCAAAGTTATCATGGTATCAGAGCATGTTTCGATTCTAATGTAATGGTAGGACAATAGCATTAATTGGAAGAAGAAACTTTAAGTAGTTAGGGTTGATGTCACCTGCTTGGATGCTAACGTCATCTGCAAGTAGCCACCGGAGACACCCACTGGCTCGATTTCTCAAAATTTCGAATCCATCCCTTTGGTGGAAGTGTGGCGGTGCTTCTTGGGCTTCTTAATCTCGTTCCTGTGCGCCTTGTGTGACTGGTTGTGAGCCTTCTTAATCACTTGGATTTCTTTGAGTGCGATTTAGGGCTCTCGGTGTTTGGCGCAAAGATTCGAAGCTTTTGTGGTCTCGACTGGGTTGTTTGCTGCACAGGAGCATCGTCTTCAAGGTGACTGGTTGTGAGCCTTCTTAATCGCTTGGATTTCTTTGAGTGCGATTTAGGGCTCTTGGTGTTTGGTGCAAAGATTCGAAGCTTTGTGGTCTTGGCTGAGTTGTTCGCTACACAGGAGCATCGTCTTCAAGGTGGAGTCGTTGAGTTGCCATTATTGAGTTGCTGTTGTTGATGATCGATTAAATTGATCATCGGAGGTTCAACATAGTGCAGTTGAGTCGAAGAGGCTCCTGGGTTTGATCGTTGTTGAGTGTCACTGAGTCGTTGATGCCGTTTCGTCACTGACCAGAGGCATCGGTGTCTATTGCTGCTCTTTGATCTATTAATTGTTGTCTTTGACTTTGGGCTTTTAATTGACTGAGTTTTGGATTGTCTATTGTTGTCTATAGTGGGCTATTGGCTGAGTTAGAATATTGTTGTTCTTTCTTACTTTGGGTTATTGGGTTGTTTGATATTTGTTGTTTGGGTTGATGGACTGATTGATTGGGCTATTGTTCTCGGACTGGGGCTGTGATTTTCCATTAGGCTATAATTGTTGGGCCAGTTTGGCTTTTATACTTGTTGGGACTTTGAACTTCAGTTGGGCTTGGTGGTTTGGAATTGGTTCAGTTGATTTGATTGTTGTTATTTTTGGCTATTGACAATTATAGCGAGTGACAATTCTGGCTCTTATCTGTCAATTAGTTTAAGACTAAGATTGCTGATCAATTGCAGAAACTTTTTCAATAGCCTAATACTCTCTCTATCTCACCTTCTATAGGTTCGTTCACTTCGGGTCATTCAGGTATATCTCGAATTGCCTGAATCTTTGACTCAGGTGCTACCCATCATATGACTAGTGATTCTTCCTTATTTGCATCTACCTTTTCTCCTCAATCTGTTTCTGTGCTTGTAGCTAATGGTACACAAATGTCCTTGGCTGGTGTTGGATCTATAATTTCTCCTCGTCTAACACTTTCTGATGTTTATTATATTCCACAACTTACCTTGAATTTAATTTCAGTTATTCAGCTATTTGACTCTGGATTTTCAGTTCATTTTTCTTCTTCTAGATGTATTGTACAGGATCCATGTTCCAAGAAATTAATTGGGACAGACAGTAGAAATGGAGGATTGTATGTGTTAGATGAGTTACATATTCCTGATATTGTTGTTTTTACTGTTGATTTATCTTCATTTCATTTAAGTCCACAGTCTTCTAGTTTCTATTTGTGGCGTTCTCGTCTTGGTTATGTGTCCCACTCTCGTTTGAAATTTTTAGCTTCTACTGGTAGTTTGGGTAATTTAAAGTGGCATGATATTTTCAGTCGTAGTGGATGCAAGTTAGCTAAATTTACTGCATTACCTTTTAATAAAAATTCCACTAGCTCACTTGCACCTTTTGATCTAATTCATTCTGATGTTTGGGGACCAACTCTTGTTCCCACAAAAGGAGTGTTTAAATATTATGTCTCTTTCATTGATGATTATATAAGGTTTTGTTGGGTTTATCTCATGAAATATCGTTCTGAATTTTTTTCTGTGTTCACTGGTTTTCGTGCTATGATACGTACTCAATATTCATCTGTTATTAAATGTTTTTGATGTCACCAAGGAGGAGAATATTCTTTCAATTCTTTTCGTGATCTATTAAAATCTGATGACACTATTTGACAATCTTCTTGTACTGACACACCTGAACAGAATGTTGTAGCAGAACGCAAACACCGACATATTATGGAGATAGCACGCTCTCTCTTATTGTCAGCCAATGTTCCAAGTTCTTTTGGGGGGAAGCAGTTCTTACTGCGGTCCATCCGATTAATTCTATTCCCACTGTCATCACATTTGGAATTTCTCCATTTGAGAAACTATGTGGTAAGTCACCCTGATTATTTCTCTTTGCGTGTATTTGGATGTGCCAGTTTTGTTTTGCTTCCTAGTGTTCTTTGTACTAAACATTCTGCTCGTTCATCTTTATGTGTTTTCCTTGGTTATGGTGAGGATTAAAAGGGATATCGTTGCTTTGATCTTGTATCACATAAACTCTATGTCTCTCGTCATGTTATTTTCATGGAGCATATTTCCTTCTTTTCTATTCCATCCAGTTCTTCACATTTGCATAAATCTGATCTCATTTATATTGATTCATTTCTGCCTGATGTTCCCTCTGGCACTTATGTTGGTCATATGACTGTTTCTGATGTACCCATCACTTGTCCCCCTATTGTGTATACATATGTTCGCAGGAATCCAGCTATCTCCTCTACATATGTGGTGCCTCCCCTTTCTTCTCCTGCCATCCAATCAGGTTTAGACAATATGGATCATATTCCGCGCTATCCTCAGCGCTCTCGCAAATGTCCAGACAGGTTTGGTTGCAGTAACACTTGTTATTCGTCTGACTTTTGTTTTTTCCTTACTTCTATTTACTCCTTATCTGAACCCACCTCCTACAAGGAGGCTTTACTTGATCCACTTTGGAAACAAGCTATGGATGAGGAACTGTCTGCTATACATAAGACCAGAGCTTGGGAACTAGTGCCTTTACCACCTGGTAAATGCCCTATTGGTTGTAGGTGAGTTTATAAGATAAAAATCAAGTCTAATGGTTCTGTGGAACGATATAAAGCTCGATTAGTAGCCAAGAGTATTGCTCAGGAGTATGATATAGATTATGATGAGACTTTTGCCCCTGTTGCGAAGATGACCACTGCTCGCACCATGATTGTAGTTGCTGCCATTTGTCAATGAAATTTGTCTCAGATGGATGTGAAAAATGCATTTTTTCATAGAGATTTAAGTGAAGAGGTTTTTATGACTCTTCCTCTTGGATTATCTTATAGTTTTGGTCAAGTATGTCGACTTCATCGAGCTTTATATGACCTTAAACAGACTCCCAGTGCATGGTCTGTCATATTTTTTTCGGTTATTTGTGACTTGGATTTTCGTGTCAATGACCGTGATTCTGTCTCTTTTTACGGTCTACTTCCTCATGTTCTATTATTCTGTTATAATATATTGATAATATGATTATTACGGGTGATGATACTGCTGACATATGTTTATTGAAAACTCAGTTGCAGGACTATTTTGAGATGAAAGATTTGGGGCAACTTAGATATTTCTTGGGTATTGAGATTGTTTCTTCTCCTAAAGGATATCTTCTCTCTCAGTTCAAGTATGCTTTAGATGTTATTCAACGAGCTCGATGAACAGATAATCGGACAGTTGAAACACCTTTAGAGCTCAATGTTCGTTACTCTTCTTCTGATAGTACTTCCTTATCTGACCCTACGCTCTATCACGCTATTGTTGGGAGTTTAATATATCTTACAGTCACT